GTTAAATAACAACTCTTTGGCGACTTATATACAGGTATTGATTATAAAATGTTTACAGAAATAATAAATGGCTGCAATATGTAAGTTTTATTTATTTTTAAAATAATATATTTTTCTAGTTTAATTTTAAAATCAAGAAAGTTGATAAATTAATTGTTTAAGTTTTACATATTTTGTGTGTTATATTTATTTAATCTGATGTTTTCGTAAACATATAATTTGTTAATTACCAAAAATTATGTAATAAGTATTGCAAACAAAAAGTGTTCCCTGATGAAATCAGCTTTCACATGAAATGGTAATATTTTTTAAATGAAATAATTTGTTGATTAGATAATATTACATGTCGGAAGAAATGGTTATATTTAATATATTATATTATTTTGTTTTTATGGCATACACTGACATTTTTATACAGTACTCGCCGCCGATCTCGTGTACTTTATTTGATAAATTTATCACTAAAAATAAACGTTTTTTGAAATTAATGTAGACTACACCTAATATATTTTTTACTATTATCATATTTTTTGTCTAATTAAACGGGACATAAATTATTTTAATGTACGCACGAGATTTCTATGACAGTTACCTTGCACTTGAAGTTATACAGTACTACCTTATATGCTGGTACATTTTAATAAATTACCATATTTGCTTCATACTGGTGAATATGTATAAGGCACAAAGTACAAACGCAAAATTTTGAATAAAAATAGACCCCCTCCCCTTACATGCCCATCGAACAGTACATAGAAATGTAACATGGGGACATACACTTTGTCATGGCTCTCCTCAGCGTACGTACTTTGTTGGTGATACCTAACTAATACTGTTTATAGTACTATTTAAGCACTATGTATTAAGAATAATAGGTTTTAGTTATAAATAATTGTAAAATAATATAATGCATAAGTAACTATTAGAAAGTAACCCGCTTTAGATTAAGGTAACTAAGGTTTTCTACTGTATTATCATATATGGGTGCCATTTGTTGTTCAGCCAGTCCACTCATGGTGTGTAGGATTTATATACCGTAAAACTCTACATCTAAAAAGATATCAGATTAAATGTACTGGAGTGACTTTCAATGCTCCCGGATCTGATTTACGATATATAGTACTAAAACAAATAAATAAGAAAATTAATTTTATCAGGTACAATAAAAATATCTATTTAATAACTGCCTAAAAGTGCTGACTTAAACACATTAGTAAATGATAAAACTTATTATTTGAAAAATAAATAAATAATTACTTGCTCCAACTTTCAAAAAACATTTTTATTAAATCCAACTTAAATTAGCCAGCATTAATACAATGTTTACTGTGGTAATTTTAAATTCAGATATGGGCTAACAAAATTGTGCCCAAAAAACTGCGGGTGCTCCATTATGAACATCTTAATATCAAAGCTGTTTATATTAAGATAATTGTCGACCAGGAAGTGGTTCCTGTTCTGAAGTATCTGTCCAGCGGTGGGCCTTACTTTGGGATCGTTTGATTGCATTTTTAGCAAAGTTTTGTATAAATAGACGATAAAATTGCGGGGAATTGAATCGTCTGTAAGTGACACCTTATTCCTATATAAACAGTAAACAAATAGTTATTACATAATTTTCTTAAATAAGGTAAATTCTGGAAATTATACTGGTCCTACAGAAAGTGTTATATTACTTTTAAAATTTTTTATATAGTATTCATATAAATTCATTTAAACAAAATAACTATTATAACTACGGTATATCTAATATTTACAAAACTAAAAAACTAATTTAATAAGATCAATATCATAACCATGTATTAATAAATTTGTAAATGTAACATTTTTAGTACTGTTAATTCTATTTTGATTTTTATTGATTTTAATAAATAGTTAATTAAACATACTTGGTATCTTCATCCAAATCAAAATGAAACATAACCATGGCTATCTCACCGGCGCTGTAGATGTCGGCACTGGTATCACAAACCAGATTTCTTATCACTTCTGGTGCTACATATTTACCAACATTTACCGGTATTTTAT